ATTGATCATATCTCGTTTACTCATAAAAGCTTAACACCAAAAATAGAAAAAGAAAAACTCTCATAAAAAGCTGTTACGTTAGATTTGGTTTATTGATGTTTTTTGTCTTCTACTTTTGCATTTTTCTTAGACTTTTTTTTTTTAATCAGCCAAATCACAAATGTCAAGTAAAGGTCTGTATCCTATGAAAAAAAGACAAGATACTAAATATATATTTGTGTTTGTAATTAGATCCTTTTGCTTGTGTTATTTGATGTAATAAATACTATTATCATATAACCAACAAATTTATATATTTATAATGGAAATTATAAGATTTGTGATGTCATATTCAACTTTATGAGTCTATGACCATTGTTGGGAGCAAATTCGATCCATAGAGCTACTAAAAGACTAAACCTAGGAAACAACAAATCATATAAAGTTTCAAAGATTCTGCATTTGGAAACAGTTAAAGAACTTTCCCGGGAAAAATGAAAATTACTGCGAAATGCTTTTATATTTTGCAGTCTACTGCTCACTTGAGCTGCACTTTGGTATAGTGATCCGCTGCTCTAGATAACGACTGTATCGATACCGGATAACCCTTTCCCATCTGCATAAAAACCAATATAAAAGGGTTCATTTAACACTCGATGGAATCTGAAAATGTTTTGAAAAGGAGACATTGGATTTTGGTTGAAAAGCTTACCGTACTGCATAAGTGAAATGCATTCACATAACCAGCATATTTCGAAGCTGCAGAGAAAGTAAAGAGTAAGCACTCGAATCAACCAAACAAAGATCTCTTTACAAAGTTATAAGCTCGGTATGACTTATTACTCTTTTTCAATCCGGCAGGCTTAGCAAGCAAAAGAGCATTCATAAATGCACCAACATTCTCTCGCAAAGCATCCTCGGGAAAGCTCATCTGGTTACGAAAGTGTTCTTGTTAAGAACAAATCTAATGAAATTCAGATAACCTTAAGTCTCTGGGAAGAGATGTAACCTTTCCAAGTGGCACATGAAGAATAGAAGTTTTATCCATTCTGAATTTTGTGTGTCCAGCTTTTGCGTCTTTGACTGCTTTCGTAACATCCTTGGTCACACTACCTTGCTACAAC